CTTCAGAGGCCTAAAGTGGTAGGTATGACTATGTGTCTAACCCCCAAAATCCTCCACCAGTCCCTGAGCAGCCTCGATTTCGACCCAGAACATCACAAGTAAAAGTCCCAGACGTGAAAGACGAACTAACCTCCACCGTCGGCGCGCGGATATTAGGGCGACCTTCGATGCCACTAATAGCAATAAGAGTACATTGTATACCACATTTGACTAATCACTAGTGGTCTTCAACTTGCACAACGTCACAAAAGGCATAAAGTCATTTGTAATTGACATATACTCATTTCATCTGTTAAGTATGGGTTTCTCGCATAAATCCAACAGTGTTGTACTCGAATGCCAGTGTAATACATCTGATCTTGAAGTCGTTACCACCGTGATATTCAACTCTAGTTAACCAGGAGTGATAAGACTTTCCTTCTTCTTGCTGGCAAGATGTTCCTTTATCCTTATACCCAACGGTCTCCCAGTCTTTCTGACATAGGTGGCGCTGCATTCAATGCATTCGATCATCACATCAGCCTTACCGCAGTCGCCAAATTTACTGGATGGACAAACAACGCAGCCTTGGACCCTGCAGTAGTTGCATAAAGTCTGCTACGTACTAGCCGCTTCCTGATGTCACTTAGAATGTCGATCAAAATGACATCGTCTTTCAAATTTGCGCGTTGAAGGCAGTGTCCGGGCAAGATGGAGGTTTTGGGATTTCAGTGCCATGCGCGAGTGGCCCTCCTCAGACATAACATCGCGCAAGGGCGACGTCATAACGCTCGACCTAAAGCAAGAAAAACGACCGGAAAGTGGGGAAACTTACGCTTGGGGCCGGGCTCTCCAAGCTGTTCGAATTCCTGCTATGCGGCAGAGGTACGCATGCCGCCACATTCAAAATGTAGGGTCCCGCAGCGACTCTGCGTCTCTGCCTTGGTGGGGACCGTCGCATTTTAAATAGTGCGGCTTTGGAAAACGTATGTTCTCGCCGTTTTCGCGCCCTCTAATGTGGATTTTTGGAATTCAGCGTTGCGGATAACCTCCGGTAAGTGAATTTTCTAGAAATCGAGTTTTTGCCTGGACACTGCCTTTAATGCAAGTCGTATTGCGGCACTAGTTGCGT